CTGATCAAATGAGTTGCTAGGCAGAAGCAAAAGAAACACAGATTAGTAGTGGTGAAGGAAAGTGCTAAATACTAACTTCATGCACTGGCTTCCCTGCCAGTTATCCATAATTTCGGGAGCCTTCATCCATAATTTCTCTTTGTTGTGCAAGTGTGATTTCATATATTTTTTTCATATAATTTTTCTTTTGGTTTCTATCTCTCTCCCCTGCAGTTACCTATAGGATATGTTGATTGTAGCCAACTTTAAACTTGCTTTATAGGTTGCAGAATATCTAACCAAAATCACAGCAGAATAAGGAGAGAAATAGTCCATCACCTGGAAGGCTATAACTTGGATTCATAAGCAGATATTGATGAGAATTTGGGATGTCTCCCTTTGGGGAAAAGGAGTGAGTATGTTTAATTTCCCATGGGGTTTCATCATATTGAAAGGCATTATTTTAAGATTCTTCTGGAAGAAATATGTATCTGGAGACTGGATAAGCAAATAGGCTGACTGCAGTGGACATTGTCTTCTCAGCATAGAAACCTCTGTCCCACTGTGGTGAATTCCTCCTTGAGTGAGTCCATTCTCCCCTGCGGCTTCCAGCAGCAAGGGTGCTGATGTGTGATGGTGGCATTAGCTTCTAACCATGAAGAGGGTAGTGCCTGTGGGGGCACCATACCAGGAATGTAACTGCTGGGTGACCTCTGCTGTGTTCCCAAATGTCTGGTCTCTGCATTCCTATCCATTTTCTGAATCCAATTCTCCAATTATTTATTAGTTCTATGGATGACCTGATTCACCTTCATAAATTTATTTTCTGCTTGAATTATTAAGAGTTGATGTCTGTAATATGCATCCAAGAATGCTCACTGATACATGGGCAGTGTCATAAACAGGAAAGAAAACTATCCAATGCTATAATTAGAAAGAAAGATGAAAGACTTGGGTATTTTTTACTGTATAAAGAGCTAATGTTTCATGAAGATGCTTAAAAAATGTAACCAGTTGATCTTTTCAAAAAAACCAGCTCCCAGATTTATTGATTTTTTGAAGGATTCTTTGTGTCTCTGTCTCCTTCAGTTCTGCTCTCATCTTAGTTATTTCTTGTCTTCTGCTAGCTTTTAAATTTGTTTGATCTTGCTCCTCTAACTCTTTCAACTTTGACAATAGGGTTTCAGTTTTAGATCTTTCCTAGCTTCATTTAGTGCTATAAATTTCCCTCTAGACACTGCTTTAAATGTGTCCCAGAGATTCTGGTACATTGTGTCTTCATTCTCATTGGTTTTAAGAACATCTTTATTTCTGCCTTCATTTCATTGTTTACCCAGTCTTCACTCAGGAGCAAGTTGTTCAGTTTCCATGTAGTTGTGCAGTTTTGAGTGAGTTTCTTAATCCTGAGTTCTAATTTGATTGCACCGTGGTCTGATAGACAGTTTGCTATGATTTCTGATCTTTTTCATTTGCTGAGGAGTGATTTACTTCCAATTTTTGGTCATTAGAGTAAGTGCAATGTGGTGCTGAGAATGTGTATTCTGTGGATTTGGGGTGGAGTGTTCTGTAGATGTCTATTAGGTCTGCTTGGTCCAGATCTACATTCAAGCCCTGGAAATCCTTGATAATTTTCTGTCTTGTTGATTTGTCTAATACTGACAGTGGAGTGCTAAAGTCTCACACTATTATTGTGTGGGAGTCTAGGTCTCTTTGTAGGTCATTAAGAACTTGCTTTATGCATCTGGGTGCTCCTGTATGGGGTGCATATATATTTAGGATAGTTAGCTCTACTTATTGCATGGACCCTTTTACCATTATGTAATGCCCTTCTTTGTCTTTTTTTGATCTTTGTTGGTTTAAAGTCCGTTTTATCAGAGACTAGTATTGCAACCCCTGCTTTTTTTTTGTTCTCCATTTGTTTGCTCATGGTTAGGAAGAATCAATATTATGAAAATGGCCATCCTGTCCAAAGTAATTTATAGATTCAAGCTACCATTGACCTTCTTCACAGAACTGGAAAAATACACCTTAAATTTTATATGGAACAAAAAAAAAGAAAAGAAAAAGAAAAAGCTCACATAGCCAAGTCATTTCTAAGCAAAAAGAACAAAGCTAGAAGCATCACGCTACCTGATTTCAAACTATACTACAAGGCTACAGTAATCAAAACAGCATGGTACTGGTACCAAAACAGAGATATAGACCAATGGAACATAACAGAGGACTTGGAGGCAATGCCAAACATCTACAACCATGCAATCTTTGACAAACCTGAAAAAAACAAGCAATGGGGAAAGGGTTCCCTGTTTAACAGATTCTGTTGGAGAAACTGGCTAGCCATGTGCAGAAAGCTAAAACTGGACCCTTTCTTACACCTTACACTAAAATTAACTCCAGATAAGCAACACCATAAAAACCCTAGAAGAAAACCTAGGCAACACCATTTTGGACATAGGCATAGCCAAGGACTTCATGACAAAACACTAAAAGCAATGGCAACAAAAGGCAAAACAGTCAAATGGGATCTAATTAAACTTAAAAGGTTTTACACAGCAAAAGAAGCAATCATTAGAATGAACCAGCAACCAACAGAACAGGAAAAAAATTTTCACAAGCTACCCATCTGACAAAGGGCTAAAATCCAGAATCTACAAAGAACTAAAGCAGATTTACAGGAAAAAGAAACAACTCCATCAAAAAGTGGATGAAGGATATAAACAAACACTTTTCAAAAGAATACATTTATGCGGTCAACAAACATGAAAACATGCTCATCATCATTGGTCATTAGAGAAATGCAAATCAAAACCACGTTGAGGTACCAACTCACGCCAGTTAGAATGGCAACCATTAAAAAATCTGGAGACACAGATGCTGGAGAAGATGTGGAGAAATAGGAACACTTTTACACTCTTGGTGGGAGTATAAATTAGTTCAACCATTGTGGAAGACTGTGACAATTCCTCAAGGAGCTATAAATAGAAATACCATTTGACCCAGCAATCCCATTACTGAGTATATACCCAAACAATTATAAATCATTCTATTATAAGGACACATGCACACGTATGTTCATTGCAGCACTGTTTACAATAGCAAAGACCTGGAATCACCTCAAATGCCCATCAATGACAGACACATATACATAAAGAAAATGTGACACATATACACCATGGAATACTATGCAGGTATAAAAAAAGGATGAGTTCATGTCCTTTGCAGGGACATGGATGAATCTAAAAACCATCATTCTCAGCAAACTGACCCAAGAACAAAAAACCAAACACTGCATGTTCTCACTCATAGGTAGGTGTTGAGCAATGAGAACACATGGACACAGGGAGGGGAACATCACACACTGGTGTCTGTTGGGGGTTGGGGAGCTAGGGGAGGGATGGCAGGGGGTAGGGAAGTTGGAAAGGGATAACATTGGGAGCAATGCCTGATGTAGCTGATGGGGGGATGGAGGGAGCAAACCATCATGGCACGTGTGTACCTATGCAACAGTTCTGCAAGTTTTGCACATATACCCCAGAACTTAAAGTATAATTAAAAAAATATAACCAGTTTAATTATTATAAGTGGATACAATGGACTGAGTGTCTATCTCTTCTCTCAATTCCTATGTTGAAATCCTGATCTCCATTGTGATGAGTTTAGGTGGTGGGCCTTTAGGAGGTGATTAGGTCATGACGGTGGAGCCCTCATGAATGGGATTGATGCCCTATATAAAAGAGTCCCCAAAGAGATCTCTTCTCCTCTTTTTGCCATGTGAGCATACAAGGAGAAGTCAGCAGTCTGCAACATCGAACCCAATCAGTCTGGCACCCTGACCCTGGACTTCCAGCCTCCAGAACTATGAGAAATAAATTTCTTTTGCTTATAAAACACCCAGTTTATGGTATGTTGTTAAAGCAGCCTGAACAGACTAAGACAGAGGATATCTGAGGTATATGATTTAACAAAATCATAAATTTATGATTTAACAAAATCATAGGCAGCAGGCTGGAGAAAGAATGGGGGTGGAGTATGAGGAAGAGAGCACCATGAACGACTGAATCATAACTCCATAGAAGCTCAATTGGCTGGAGTCAAGGTCCAAATAAAATAAGATGAAATATAGTAAATATAAATATGGAATTCTGTGTGATCAAAAAACAGCTGCACAAGTATAAAATGTAGAAAGAGAGGGAGCAGCATGTGTTGACAAATTATAGTGTTTTTCAGAAATATTTAGGCATGGTATTGAATAATAATCTCTGAATGTGTCCACTGTACCTCTCCCCTTCCCAAGCTGCTTGCCTCGAGTATCTGTTTTTTCAACGATCTTCTCCAATGACTTACCCGGAAAGGAGAGTAAAAAAGGAAATGTACCATGATGTCTCCTGAGACCGTCCCTCAAGAAACTCAGTCTGCTGATCCAGTATTCAGAGAACAAGTCTGCCTCTCTCTCTCTCTCTCTCTCTCTCTCTCTCTCTCTCTCTCTCTCTCTCTCTCTCTCTCAGAAGATCTCTATCAGAACCAAGGAAATTCCTGCTTGGAGCTCTGAGTACTCTCCAGTGCAGGAAGTGCTGCTTGGTGTTGGGTGTCTGGAATCCTCTTGCTTCCACCTCTGGTGGATTGGATTTTATTCTTTCTCAGATATGTCATGTGCTTCCATGCACTCCATTCTCCACAAGTACCCCTGGTCTCCTCCACGGCTCCAAGATTGCATCACCAGTGAAAAAGATCTTGGCAATTATCAGAGCCTGCCATCTCATGCTCCCTCTTCTAAAATATTGACTGCCTCCTACCATAGACTCCCCCAGGAAACTGCCCAAGTGGGTCATTTCTAGCTTAGACAGAGGAAATACTTCATTCCAATATATTATCTATTCTAAACAAAACCTGGTAGGATCTCATTATCTTCCAGTTTTTCTTTGCCCTATCCTTCCTTGTCCTGTTATTCCACTGTACCCCATCTCAATCCATCTCTCAGTTTTGTTTATTTATTTGAGACAAGATCTCACTCTGTTGCCTAGGATGGTGTGCTGGAAATACAGGTGCATGCCACCCTGCCTGGTTAATTTTAAAAAATTTATTTTAGAGACAAGATCTTGCTGTGTTGCCCAGGCTACTCTCAAACTCCTGGACTCAGAGGATTATCCCACTTCAGCCTCCCAACAGCTGGTATAACTTGGATGAGCCGCTGGCTCTCACAGGGTCTTTTTCATCTTCTGGCACCTTGGGTGGATTATTCAGAGACAGACTCCAGGATGAAAATTTGAGTGTAGGGGATTTATTAAAGAGTGCTCACAGGAACATCATTCAAAAGAGGAAGAGGGAAGGAAAACTGAGCAGAGAGAAAGTGAACTGTGCTGCATGCAATTGCAGCAGAGACCACAGAGGATCCCATAATCCCACCAGGACCTCTGATCCGGGAGGCAACTTCAGAATTGTCTCAAATTGAGGCAACAGAGCGGAAACTTTGTATCCTCTCTGCACTCATGAGCCAATAGAAGTAGACTATGCCAGGGAGAGAGTGTAAACTCGCTCAATGTAGCCTCCTTCAGCTAAGAGCAATTCCAAGAGGGCGATTTGGTGATTTGGCTGTGAGACAACAAGAGCCAATACTCTCAGTGCCTTGTTGAATGAGTGCCCTTGTCTTGGAGGGGGCATTTGAATAGCACACTATAGCATCCACTACTCCTAGGCATATAGAGCTCAACACACTGAAGAGGAGAAGCTAGCTCTGTAACTATCTAGTCAGAGGAGTGGGCCACCTTCCTTTCCACTCCTATGTAACTCATGTTGGTACCTTTCCTAGGTACTCTTTTTATTAGAAGGATTCTATTCCACTGGAAAATACTCAATACTCTAGTGTTGGGTCTTCTAGTGAGATTTTTCACTCAGCTCTTTAGTGCTTTTTTCTTTTTTTTTGAGACGGAGTTTTGCTCTTGTTACCTAGACTGGAGTGCAACGGTGCGATCTCGGCTCACCGCAACCTCCGCCTCCTGGGTTCAGGCAATTCTCCTGCCTCAGCCTCCTGAGTAGCTGGGATTACAGGCACGCGCCACCATGCCCAGCTAAGTTTTTGTATTTTTAGTAGAGACGGGGTTTCACCATGTTGACCAGGATGGTCTTGATCTCTTGACCTAGTGATCCACCAGCCTCGGCCTCCCAAAGTGCTGGGATTACAGGCTTGAGCCACCGCGCCCGGCCTTTAGTGCTTTTCTTAAGCTCATGAAGACAAAAAAATCAAAGTGTGCCACTCAGCAGTGGAAGGACCTTAGAGATGGCCTCATCTAGTCCCTTCATTTTCAGTTCCTCAGAGATATGGCACATCTTCCCCAAGGCCACACATCTGCTTAGCATTGGAATCAGAACCATAACCCTAGTCAAGTGGTCTTTGTTCCCCCAGAAAATGGTGCTGTAATGCTGATGCTGTACTATATAACTCATTAAGTTTGGAAGTATGTGTCCTGGTTCCTCAATGAGGCTGCAAACTGAGGCATTTCTTAAGCTTTTTTACAGAATAACATATAAAACAATGGGAGACATAGTAAAAACTTGTCCTGCTAAGATTTCATTCAACCACTGTGTAGGGTTAAACATTAATGCATTTTTCAGTTTTTTCATACTGCACAGTGGTGATTTTCTGGCTATAAGTTATAACAAAGTTTATCATTCAAATGGCCCCCTAAAGTGCAAGTTGTCTTAGAGGAATAAATAGTGCCTAATATGTCTGTTTTTCTGGTAAAGGAGAGAAAAACAGAAAACTGAATAATATGAAAAAGAAACAGGAGGAAAAATTAAAAACACAAGTAGCAGTGGTTTTAGCCCCGGTGGAAAACATACATTTATTGGGAAGAATTCTCAGCAGGAACAGTGGAAATCTTACATTTTCTAGTTCAATTACAACATCAGGATCTTAGATATTGGTAAGAGGCTTGTTTCCAAGGACTCTGATGCTGAATCAATACGGTCCTAAGTGATAGATTAGAAGTACTGCAGAAAATGTCCTACCATTATTAATAAATTGTTCCATAGCCTTCCATATATTTTTTCTTACACATTTAGTCATTGTTTAAATTACTGTTCTACTGAAATGAAATCATGAATGTTGGGGATTTAGGGAAAATAAAGCCGCAATTTGTAAGCCAGCCAGTCTGGCTGTTCTGTCTGCAGGTTGAAGCATCAACTTATGATACACGATGGATTCACCTAGGAAATTCTCAGATCAGCAATTTGTTATGAAAATGCACTATGCTGTCTTTTGGACTCAAATTTGAGAATACTATTCAGATACTAGCTGGATGTGTTCATATTTATTACTTTTAATGTGATTGCATGGTGCCAGGCAACACTTTTCTCTGCTGGATACTGTTTGGCCTTTGGCAAAGGAAAGAATCTATGCTGCCTAATACCCAACACATTAGAAAGTGTCCCTTAGCCCTTCCCAGACTCCTGATTTTCTTCAGATAGCAGTCATCTCTTTACTATGAAATGAGGCTTTTCACTCCATAATTACAAATAAAGCTTCGAATAGAATGCCTCTGAGAGAAGAGACATAATGATAGAGCATTCATGGTATTTTGAGGTAATATTGAGAAATGACCCTTCCTACTCTGGACTTTGAGCAGAGATGATACACATGATATGTCTGGACACAGCATCTGATGTGTACAGTAACAAGTGCAGAACAAAGTTCTCTTATATTAACTAAACAATAGAATATAGATAGGCAGGTCTCTATTGGTTGAAGATCTATACTTGAAAAGTATTGTCTAATGAAAAATATGACAAAAGCAGAGACTCAAGAGATGTGTCACAGGAAAACTACACACATTAGGGCATTTAGTGAGGACGTCTGTTACAATGTCATTTCAGAGGGTCCAGAATGGACCATTTCGCCATTGTTTTCTACCAGTCTTGCATGGAGGGATACTAGAAATTTTACCTTTTATCACACAAATTTGGCCTTAAAAAGAAAAGTGAACGGGTTGGATACATAGACACAGAGCATGGTAAAGTTAATCCCACGCTTAATTTGGTGTGAGGGAAGTGAGAAATATTTAAATGTTTTTTAGAGAATCCAGAAAGAAGGGCGGCATATACATTTTTCCTCTTTAGAAAAGTTTGGTGTGAGCTGCTTTTGATTTCAGAGAAATGCACAAACTTAATTGAATCTGTTTTCCATCAATGCAATCAGTTTTATTTAATTTATAGACCAAAGCAGAATTCCTTAGAGACCACCTGTTCTAACCCTGCCATTTCATGGATACATAAATGAAGGTACAAACTTACTGAAGGTTACATATCTGCCCATGTGGGCACAGACACATTTATGATCTCATCTTGCATTCATTCACACCAACAACTCCACCCAAGTTACCCAAGTTGCCTCTTTCTACTGGGGCCAACATCTTGTTTCTTAGCAACAAGAAACCATAGAATATCCTGTAGGTCATTTCTACTGGAGAAATAAGTGAGACCACTAAATGTCAGCCACAGAGGATGAGAAGAAAAGAAAACGAGCTATGAAGGAGCCCACATGGAAGGGACAATGTCAACTTGCTTCTTTTGTGTGTGTGCGTGCGTGTGTGTGTGTAACAATGATTTATTAGACAGAGAGAGAGAGAGAGAAAAAAAAGACAGCTCCCACACTGTTGTGGGAGGGGAAGGCAACTTGCTGCTTCTGCCCCACTCATGCCTTCTGTTCCCTGCCAAGGTAATTCTCCAACTTACATACATACACATCCATAGGTCAGAACAGCATTGTTATCTCCATTTTACGGAGAGTAAACTGAAGAATAGAGCAGCCAGAATATTTGCTTCTGGGAAGATGTTAGTCAAGCAAGGTCGGCAGAAAATACAGCTCTGAGACTGGAGGAAATAGGAATGCTTCCTTGTGCTGTAATGGGCCTAGATTAAAAAGGTTTCCTGGGAAGAGTGGTGTGATCATAAAGGGCCTTAATTTCTGCCCAAAGCCCAAGAAGAGAGAAACGTTTCTGACTACAGAAAGGAGACAAGGACTCTAATTATGCTGGAGGTAATCTGACAGAAATGTCGTTTGGGGATAAGATCCTTTGAAGAAAATTTTATGAGTGAAATTGATGCTTGCCTTTGGCTGGCTGGCAATTTAAGATTATGAAAACCCAGAACTACAACTTTTAATAATGCTAATAAATGTCACCTTTGTCATTTCTTTCATCCTTATTTATAGTAAATTATTTCTTATCCTGATTCAATTCATCAAGCATCATTTGACATCTTCTGTGTTCTAGGCCTAATGACTATACCAGAGATTCAAAGATGCAGAGATTTCAGGAAACCTCAGGCTTTGATGAACAATCAGTCCAGACTTTCAAAATATGTTGCAGGGTTCCTATAAACCATACATGCTTACACTTCTAAAACTGGAAACCAAAATAAAACATGCATATGTGGAAATATTCTGCATGACTGTTAGAAAAAAATAGTAATAATACCAACTAAGAATATAAATAACATTTCTTAAAAGCAACCTGAAGAATTGGCAGTGAGACCTTTCATGCAGACAGAAAAGTGACTGCAGAAGAAAGCATCTTGTTGACGAGAAAGGGTAGTGGGTCCGTCTGCTCAGGAGAAAGGTTTCAAAAAATAACTTCCATAGCTCCCCTGAAGGCTGAAGGACCCTCGCTGCTCCTGTATTTTCAGACTAACATGTTTCCCTCTTCTGAAATATAAGCTACTTGTGCATTTATAAATGATCTTGCAATATGAGGCAAATTTACTGCTTTCAGGATGACAGGCAGAGTTTGCAAACCTTGCTTTCTTCTTGCTTAATCCCTGGATTTTACCTATACTCTGAATACAAGTAATGCACATTAGTCAATTAATAGGCTGTTAAATGACAACAGTTCTGGGCAATTTAATTACTGTTGGTAAAATAAGAAATGAATGATTGCATGTCAGCAACCAATTTCAGTTCCTTTCCTTGGAACAGATTAACTTTGAGTCATGATAGTTTCTCTGGAAAAAAAATTGATTGTTGCAGTGAACATATTAGTTGCCATTTCATGTATTACGGAAATTTAAGTTTTTCTGTTGTATCTTGTCTAGAAGGGAATGTGGGAAAGTTATGCCAATGATATTTATTTGCAAATATAATAATGATATTGAATTTTAAATAAATTAATTAAAACTGTTGATGGAAAGGCCAGGCAAGAATAGGAGTCCTTTGACTTTCTGTCCAAATTTGTCCTCTAATACCCTTGCCAATTCCAGACCATTTACTCTGTGTTATTAGTTGAGTGAAAATCAAGAGAAAAATCAAGGAACAATAATCTTAGTTTTAGTGATTTTTTTTCTCATTTTATACTCATTTTCCTTAGAATAAACCCCAAAATGTTTAACATAGTCTGTCTCAGTAATCTGGCTCCAAAAGTTTTACATGTGAATTTCTTTGAAGTCTCTAGTCTCGACTGCAGTCTAAGTCTGATGAAGGCAGTTACTTCCTCTCTTTGGTTCACTGTTATCTGAGGGATTTGAACAGTGCCCAAGCCAATATTAATTAATGAGTAGAACAAAAGAGTGCTTGAGGACACGATCTCACTAGGTACTTATGACTTTAAAAGTGAGCTCTGAATGCATATGAAAGAGGGAAGAGTGGATTGTCTAAAAATAACATATAGGAAAAAGTGAAAAATTCTACACTCTACTAATGAAACGAAGGATTGGACTGTCTCACATATCCTAAGATAAAGATAAATTGGACCTGAAAAAGTCTGAGCAATGAAAAAACTGAATTAGAAACAGTAAAACTGTCAATCTTCTGTCCCTACCCACCCGGAGATTAGAAAACTCATTGCTTGCATCTCTGTTGATCATCTTTGTTGATAAATGTGTTTTAGTAGCAATTAGGTGTGTTAATACCTAAGTCTGCAGATGGTTTCTTTAGAGCAATTAAGATTTTTGAAATATCGCCTTCCTCTGCAATCCCCTGTTATTAAATATTTATTGAAAAGCAAAGAAGATTTGTAGTTACATTTAGGAAAGATTATAGGGTTTACAGTTTACGGGGATGAAACCCCATAACAATCACTTTCAATGATCGGATCATCTTGCCTTACAATTAATTGCTTTATTGCACTGACATCTGGAAGGAGAATTTTGGAATCAAGTGCTAACAAATCCACATACCTTCTTACCCATTTAAATATATCTTTCAAATACAACCCATTCCCTGCAAGACCCCTATGTACTCAATCTACTACTGGAATATGATCTAGGCAGACACAAGTCCACACCTCCTGTGCACAGTACAGACCACTGCAAGAATCTCCTAATTGGTTTCTCTGCCTCCAGCTTCACCTTCTACCAGTGCATCCTCTATTTTGGAAAGTTATCTTTCTAAAATGTGAAACTGATTCTTCCATTCATTGCTTCAAAGCCTTCTGGTATTTCTCAGTTGATAAATTAAAATCCGAATGGCCCCTGCTAGCAGAGACCTTGCACAGTGTCCCTCTCCGGTTTCATGTCCTGCCACCCGGAACTCTTGCCCCACATCTGGCCATTCATGTTCATGTGCACCTTGCTAGTCTGTGGCTGTGACACTCTCCACATTTGTTGAGCAAGAAGCCCTTTATTTCACCAGAACGGCATAGTGATGAAAAAAAGAACAGACTCGGAAGCCAGATACTTGTGTTCACATCCTAGCTCAGTTGCATAGTAACAGTGTAATTTTGGACAAGTTACTAGTTTCCTGGGTTTTTGTTATTATGACGACAGTAGTGCCTTTCTTATTGAATGGGTTAACACATATGAAACTCTTAGAGTAGTCCCTAATTCACAGTAGGGGCTCAATAAAGTCAGCTACCAGTACTCACCCTCCAAGTCCTGTCTTCAGCATCATCTTCCCATGGGTCCTCACTGATCTCATCACCTACTCTCGCCCCAACTCAAGCAGGTCTGATCACTCTGAAGTCAGTTTCACCCACTGCGAACAGAAATCATCTATTTATAGATCCAGCTCCCCACGCATTGTGTAATCATGGTCAGAGGTTTTCTGTGTTCGTACTGGTGTTCTGAAAACCTATCGCGACATCCAACATGGGTAACATAAAAGAAGCTCAATAATTACATTTGAATAAACGAATGAACAAATAAAAAACACCAAAAAAAGGAAACTGGAAGTATACTGAAGGGCAGGCTTTTGGAGTCCTGCTGAGTGATTAGGCTCTTCAGCGGCACAGGCATGAAAGGGATCCAGGCTAGATCTGATTCTGATCACCTGGCTCTTCTCCAGTGAGAGGAGTGCAGCTAAGCCTCCAACACTTTGACTTTGTTGGGTCCTAGCTGTTGAGGGGTGCAGGGTGTGGAGCATCAATCACAGAGATCCCCTTTTGGGTTCTCGTCACTGACTCCTGCCTGGAGGGATCTCTCATTTTTCTTCTGGGTCATGTACTGGCTTATGGAAGCTGGCCTTTTCCAGGGGCCAGGCAGAGCTGCCCCTCTAAGGAGGCTGACAATAGCATGGAGTAAGCACTAATTAGGTACCTGTCGCTGGGCTCAGTGCTGAGCACACTCTATTTCATGACAGTATAGAGTTAACCTTAGTTCCTGAATTGAAATCCATCCCTGTTCCACCATGGAATAGCTCTGTCCTTGGGCAAGTTACCTAGCTTCTCTGTGTACTCTTTCTTCAAACATAAAATGAGAATAATACTAATAATGATACCCACCTCATAGCACTGTTGTAAGAATAAATTCATTCAGTCCGTATAAAGTCTTTAGAATAGTGCCTACTACTATATCCTAAGTGCTCAGGAAATGTTTTTTATGGTTGCTGTAATTATCCCCATTTGACAGATGAGGAAACTGAGGCTCAGACAGATTAAATCACGTACCAAAGGTCACAGACTATAGAACTGGGACACACAACCATGCTTTCTAAGATTCATCACTGCCCCTACTCCGGTAGTAAAATCTCCTTCTGTCTCTAGTCCATCATCTTTCTCAAGCAATGCACAGACATGATCCCCAGCATAGTTCCTGATCAATGAGGCACAGCTATGGCACGCGCGCACACACACACACACACACACACACACACACACACACACACAAAATACCTACAATCTGCCTATGCAATATTTTTTTCGAGACAGAGTTTCACTGTGTGGCCCAGGCTGGAGTTCAGTGGTGCGAGCCATCTCAGCCCACTAAACCTCTGCCTCCAGGGTTCAAGCAATTCTCCTGCCTCAGCCTCCCAAGTACCTGGGATTACAGATGCCTGCCACCACGCCGAGCTAACTTTTGCATTTTTAGTAGAGGTGGGGTTTCACCATGTTGGCCAGGCTTGTCTCAAACTCTTGACCTCAAGTAATCCACCCACCTCAGCCTCCCAAAGTGCTATGATTGTAGGTGTGAGCCAATATGCCTGGCCTGCCTATGCAATATTTAGAGCAAACTTAAACTAAAAAAAGATTTATGCTTATCTGATATTAAGAGCTAACTGGAAGTCCTATATTTGTATTAGCTAAATCTAGCCAAACTACAAGGGGTGTGTGTGTGTGTGTAAAGTCACTTGCACCATCAAAGAACTTTTGTCACTTTATTGCTGGAACTCTTGGGGAAGAGCTTAAGTTACAGGGCAGACCATGAAGGCAGATATCCTGTGTCTTTCTGCTCTTATGAAGAGCTCTGAGAAATCAGTGAACATCTTCGATGCTAGCAGAATACATCTGTTGGAAGACATGAAGTAGGTCTGTTGAAGATAGTTTAACAAATCCATTAAATAAGAGAAGTGGGATCTGATTCCTTGGGAGTGGCTCATGATCAACCTCAGCTCAGCCTGCATCATGGTACTTCCAAGAGATTTCCATTTGCTGAATATGTTATGATGCTTATTTACCCCCCTGACTTTAGGAGATTTAACATGCATGATTGCAGGTTGAAAAATTATGGTAGCTTGTGGGGCTTCCCATTGAAACTCTTTTTTTCTAATATTTGGCTTGGGTTAAGTGAGAAATTACACCATCCTAAAATCATCATCCTCCATCCATCCCAGGAATGCAGGATTCACTTTTACCTTTTCCAGCAAACTTTACACTGTTTCACATACCATGTGCAGCATCCACACTGCCCTTACTTCAGGAGTCTTATGAAGAACTTGGACTGTTGTGGAGGCAGATCCAGACATCTCACTACTGGATTCCAGACATCCAGACACATGTGGATTCGGGGTGGTGTCATGCCATAAGCAGGTCAAAAAGTAGCATCCCCTTAGGACTGGAAATAGGGATGTGGGGTATTACACCTGGCATTTTCTTCAGACCTCTCCCTAACTTCCCATATCTTGTTTCTTAGTCAAGGACTTTGGTTCTTACTCTGGGCCTTGCTAGTAGGTACTTTCAGACAGTGGAATTGTGGAATTTTATTGCTTCTCTCTACCTCTGTCCATTCTTTGCTTGCTGGTGTCTCTGGATCCTTTCCCTCCATCCCCTCTCTCTCCCCTTCCCCCTCCCTTCTTCCTCTTCTCCTTCTCCTCCTCCTCCTCTTTCTTCTTCTTCTTCATCTTTTCCTTCTCCCTCTCCCTACCCCCTCCCTCTTCTCCTTCTCCTTCTCCTTCTCCTTCTCCTTCTCCTTCTCCTTCTCCTTCTCTTTCTCTTTCTCCTTCTCCTTCTCCTTCTCTTCTTCTCCTTAAATGAGTTCCACTCTGTCTGCCAGGCTGGAGTACAATGGCATGATCTCAGCTCACTCCAACTTCCACCTCCTGGGTTCAAGTGATTCTCTTGCCTCAGCTTCCCAAGTAGCTGGGATTACAGGCAACCTCCACCATGCCCGGCTAATTTTTTTTTGCATTTTTAGTAGAGCTGGGGTTTCTCCATGTTGGCTAGGCTGGTCTTGAACTCCAGACCTCAGGTGATCAGCCTGCCTCAGCCTCCCAAAGTGCTGGGATTACAGGCATGAACCACTGCGCCCAGCCTCGGGATTCTTATTTCCTCCACTAGGGCTCCTAAATTTACTACAGTGGCATAGAATTCCAAAAAGCCAGGATCCTTTGGTCCTTTGGCTGCCTGGCCTACCTTCCCAGGGCTGAGTTTACTTTCATGAGGAGGAGGAAGAACTCTCATGGAGGAGAGAATGGCCCCCAGAGCCACAACTGTGAGCTGCGTTACCACTAAAGCAGGCAGCCTTCCCACCCAGGCTGTCTCATTTTCTGCTCCATCTGTTGTGTATTTTAAGAGTCCAAGTAGAAGGATAACTGATATTGACAAATATTTTGAGGTAAATTAAGGGCAAATTACCTCAATTTGTTGAGGGTTATTGTTCTTATTCTACATCTCTAGGATATCTGCTTCAGTATTCTGAACAATTATTTGGTTTACTTGAAATTGTTTCCGTATTTTTTCGATCTGTTTTGAAAGAAATAAGACTCTCAGCATCTGACGCATGCAGGCAAAGATGTCCTAAATGAATAAAGTTGGGAAGGATCTTTGTCTTATCACATCATCTCTGACAAGCCAAATTCTCTGGCTTATTCTCCCTGTTCTCTACACATTGGCTCTTCATATTAAAACGTTTAAAAACTGCCTTCCTGAGATACTTTTCCTGTTCAATTCCTTGGAATGAAGATTTACCTCTTAGTTACTTTTTGGTGAAGAATTAATTCCCGAACTTGATTTGGGAACTTTGAAATCGACTCAGGTCTCTTCAGTTACTCCATATTCCATTCACAGGTTCCCCTCTCCTGAATTCCACAGCCAAACTTTAAAGGCTTCCCAGACAGCATCAGGCTACATGAAATGGACAGAGTTGGCTGTTCAGCCCAGAGCTGCTGACCCAACTGTGGGCCATAATTCATAGCATGAAAAGGCAGTGGGCTCAACAGCAAGGGCAACGTAAAATTGCCCTCTCTTAACAGGATGATGACTTTGCCTCTGTTGTGATGTTCAGATTGCTGGCCTCACAAATGGAGGGAAGGGAAAAGGAGTGTGTTGGGCAAAGAAAAGCAGAACTTGGGCCGGGCGCGGTGGCTCACCCCTGTAATCCCAGCACTTTGGGAAGCCGAGGTGGGTGGATCATGAGGTCAGGCATTCAAGACCAGCCTGGCCAAAATAGTGAAACCCTGTCTCTGCTGAAAATACAAAAAATTAGCTGGGAGTGGTGGCAGGCACTAAAATCCCAGCTACTCGGGATGCTGAGGCAGGCTTGCATATACAGTTGCAGATGTTTTTTTCATTACGCAAACCTGATGATTTTACTCTCTTAAAAGATTCTTGCCAGGTTGCTGTTTTTTGTAAAAGAAAGTCCAAAGACTTTTGTGTGGCACATACCGGGCACTTCAAAGTCTGACCTGGCCAGTCTAATCCCCCAATATTTAATAAACATACCAATGTTGTTTCTCTACTCAGTTGGAAATGGGCAGGCCTAGTTACAAGAACGAGACAGCATTCCCTGCCCTTAGAGCACTGCCTCCGGGGCGACAAATGTGTCTCTTTCAGCCTCTTCCAGTTATCCCACACTTCACTGGGCAATTTTTTTTTCAAAACCACTCACAATTCCTCACTTCATAGCTAAGCCTTGATTGGTCCTTTCTTTTTACATTTGAACATGCAATTTCATTTAAGAAAATTTTATATATAATTTAAATAAATAGAAATGTATATATTTATAATTGTACACAAGTGTATCCTTCCTGGCCCATCTCTGCCAAATGCATGTCTCTGTGCTCTCCACATTCACAGACATTAGTGTGTGCTGTAACAGTCTGTTTTGTCTGGTTTCATGTCTGTTTCCCCTGCAGACAGTGCTCTAAGGGCAGTGAATACTGTCTCTTCCTTGTAACAAGGCCTGCCCATTTCCACTTGAGTAGAGGAACAACATTTGTACCTTTAATTAAATATTAGAGGATGAGACTGGCATTATGCTTCAGGACTAAACCACAAATTAAAAAATGATTTACTTTGTACACACACACACACACTCACACAC